GAAGTAGGATTCGTCACGTCATCACTTAACGACCGGATAGCTACATTTAACAACAAGCAGCAACCTCCAGGGCAAAAAAAAATGAAGCAAACCTAGAACTGCCCAAAGATGCAGTTTCTGTAATTGCCACTTAAGGTTGGCTTCAAAGGCAAGTGAGTCCACATAAACCTCTGTGTTAAAATGCCCACTTTTAAAGCAAAAATAAACATGGTTCTTACAAAATACCAAAATCTATATTTCGAGTGTTCCTCTTCCTAAAAGCTGTGTTTTTTTTAACTCATTCATTTGAATGTTGTTAAGACTTTGACTTATGACAGCTTTGATTGGCAGGTTGATTCTAATAGCTGGTGTTTACTCCAAAGCCTCACTCAGAACTGAACCTCTTCTCTACATGTGTTTGGTTTTAATGGAATCATCTTTCAGGTAATATGGATTAGAAGTTGGATAGTCCTAGTAGTAGTTTCTTGTAGTCCTAAAAGTACTACTGAGTGCTTAATAAAGTTTGCCTTCGATATAGTTAGAACTATGTGTGGAAATAGCATTTAATATTTATATATAACAAACTGAAGACATTTGCCATCTCATCATCTGTCATTTGTCATGTCAGAAAGGACCTCACACCATTACACCTTACTCATCTTGGGCATGGCTGTCAAGGGTTTGGCTTATTTCTTTGAATGTTTTTTTTTGTTTGATTCATTTTATATTTATTGCACCAGCTGGCAGTTTTCTTAGGATTGAAAGCCTTACCTTTACTCCTCCAAACAAACCTCTGGCAACTAAACCACTCAACATTTGTCTCATCCATCCATCCATCCATCTTCTTCCGCCTATCTGGGCCGGGTTGCGGGGTCAGTAGACTAAGCAGAGAAGCCCAGACCTCCCTCTGGCCACCTCCTCCAGCTTGTCGGGGGAACACCAAGGCGTTCCCAGGCCAGCCAAGAGATATAATCTGTCCAGCGTGTCCTGGGTCTGCCCCGGGGCCTCCTCCTGGTGGGACATGCCCGAAACACTCACCCAGGAGGAATCCTTGTCAGATGCCCGAACCACCTCAACTGGCTCCATTCGATGTGGAGCAGCAGCGGCTCTACTCTGAGCCCCTCCTGGATGGCTGAATTTCTCACCTTATCTCTAAGGGAGAGGCCAGCCACCCTTCAGAGGAAGCTCATTTCTGCCAATCCGCAATCTCATTCTTTCACTCACTACCCACAGCTCGTGACCATAGGTGAGGGGAGGGGCGTAGATCGACCGGTAAATTGAGAGCTTCGCTTTTACACTCAGCTCTCTCTTCACCACAACAGACCGGTGCAGCGTCCGCATCACTGCAGCCGCAGCATCAATCCGTCTGTTGATCTCCCGCTCCCTTCTCCAGTCACTCGTGAACAAGACCCCGAAATACTTTTAATGTTCTTCCAGAAGGATTTTCCTTTGTCTATGTGGTCAGCTGGAGGTTTTATTCAAATTGTCAGTGTGCTGTATTTGGATGTAAGGTTTCTTACCGGAACCATCTCCATCAATAATGATAATAATATCTTTGTTTCCATGACACTGGTTGTTCAGGCAGTTTCGTTCCTGTGTCATGGCGGTTTCCTGGTTGTTTCTGACCATTTGGTTCTCTGAAGTCGCTGCACCTCCCAGTAACTTGTATACCTGTTAGCTCGGATGATTTTGGAATCTGCAGTTCTGAAAGTTTCTGCTATGTTTTACTTTACTGTGTGCTTGTCAGTCCTACAAGTGCCCTCAAACACACCTTTTAGCTGTTGTAGAGTAGAAGGTACCAGCTGTTGTCAATTATGGTCACAAGCATGGTAATTGTTGCTAACTAATGATTACATTTTATGACCTTGGCTTTGATAACGCCATTCTGGAACCTTCATTTTCAACAAGTGTTTATCTCAAAATATCAAAAATAAATTTGAATTTGTGTAACAAATTCTTAAGAATGTGCTTTTTTCAATTTTCAATTATTGAGCTTTGAAAAGAGAGCAGGTCACACTAATTATCAAAATTAGTGTGCCCTAAAATTAGCAGCCAAAGTTTGGCATCCATGAATGCATGTAAATTTCAAACTGTAGCTGTAGTTTATTAAATTAAACCTGCAAAAATAAGTAAACACGGCAGCTGGATTTCTGTTACTTCTGTGTTTATTTTGTCACTAGAAGACATTTCCAGTCTGGTTGCCTAGGTAACACTCTGACATATTTATCACCATATCATATGTCAATCAACAGTATCCTTTGCTCTCTCTGGCAGTCACTTCAATCGCTTGTGTTGAAATTCAGCTCAAGATCTGCCCTCTTTGCTTTGCCAGCAGTTATTTTGCCTGCCGTTGCTTGAAGTCGCAGAATGTCATTGGCTTTCTATGGTGCCTGGTCGCCCTGTCACTGTGAATTGCTTCATGTGTGGACACTCCGTTGGAGCTGTGGTTCCGCCAATAACTTTATGTAATAAACTGCCCTCTGTCACCACAGACTGGGAAGCTCGGATTGACAGCCATGGCAGAGTTTTCTACGTGGACCATGTCAACCGGACCACAACCTGGCAGAGGCCGAGCCACGCTACCAAATGTAACCATGGCATACCTCGCTCAGGGTCCACGCATCAGATGGAGCAGCTCAACAGAAGGTCAGAATAGGAACACGCAGAGAAAACTCCAAGTGTAAGACTGCAGCAGTTCTGCCTAGACCCGTCAAAATAAGATACATTTCTTAACTGCAGTGATTTATAGTCGTTGGTATTGCTCTGGTACCTGAGCCTGCTATGCAGCAAGCAGTAAGAATGCCTCATTATTAGTTAGCATGGATGGAGGATCTGGAGTCCAGATGGGTTGCAAAGAGGCTTGCAGATGCACAGTTAGTGTATGAAGAGAAAAGGGAGGGAAGTGGATCAGTTGATCCACTTCCCTCCCTTTTCTCTTCATACACTAACTGTGCATCTGCAAGCTCTGTACTAGCCCACACCAGCTGATCACTTAACTAAGTGATCAGCTGGTGTGGGCTAGCACAGAGATCAGTGAATCTGGGCCGCAGGTTATAATGGACCTTCGTCCTGCCAGTAACTATGTTTGCTTTACTTCCATAAAACATGGAAGAATTATGAATGAAGTGTGGAAGAGAAATGTACTTTATAGTATAGTAATTAGATTAAAATGACCAGAATACATACATTTCTTAATCAATTGGATTTTTAGTCTTTATCCATGTCATAATTTATAAACATAGTTTATAATTTTTTGACAGAGGTAAATGTGTTTTTGTTTATTTTGTAAGTACATTAGTCAGATATATCTAAAATATTTGTAATAAAACTATAATAATGTACAAATTTGAAGTGGAAATATAGTGTAGCTGAAACTATCTATATTAAAGTACAAATTGCAGCCAAACCACCAGTTTGAACAGAAAGGTGAGGTAGCACTCAGTCGTCTGAGCCTGTGCAGTAAGATAAACTAATGTGGAGTCAGGGTGACATCTGGTGTCTGGAAAAGGGATCAAAAACATGAAGTAGTAAATATGATGTGACATGAGACAGAAATGTGTACTTTTGAAAGGTTCTCAGATTCCTGGCTGTCGTTTATTATGCAGGTACCAGAACATACAGAGGACTATGGCCACAGAGGAGAGTGGAGGGAGTCAGAGGATTGAGCGGAGCAGCAGTACTGAAACTGATCCTGACTCCACTCAGACGGGTACAGCACTGAGCCCTCTCATGCTTTACACTCACACGGCCTGCGCCTTTTAATACGACCGTCATTACGCATGAAAGACAAGTGTCCTGATGTGTGC